GGGGGGGAGTGGCGCGTACTCATGGTTGGTGCATTAGCGGTTACTAGACCATGACCACGCGTCGTCGTGAGGACGATGTAACACTGTTCCCACAAGGTCGATCAAATGCAGCCAGTCGTTCCTTCCTGTTTTGCCAAAGGTGGCTCAAAAACATTTTCCCTAGCCCATCTATCCTACCGATATGCACATAACTTCCGGTTTTTTCAACCCACTCATAGTGTGGTCAATCTGCACGACTCCCTAGCGGCAGGTTGTTGGTTCGATTATCTCTCGGGAGGTTTTCGTCCCCGGGATGATCTAGGTCTCTCCCGAGAGAAAGAACAATCCCCTGCCAAGCGGCTGGTGCGCCGGTGGTCAAGCCTCACCGAACAATCGAGTGGAAAAGCGGCTGTTGCGAGAACAGCAACACAAGGTACGTTACCGTGCACTGTCCACTTGGCCAACTCCCTCACCTGTCTCGCATTTCTGCCGACTTTCTCGCGGCGAGTTCGATGAGCGCTTCGTCCATGCCCGCCGCCCGTGCAACATTCAGCCCATAGCTCTTGTGGGCTTGGCCAACCACGAGCCGGTACAGGAAGGTTACACCGCGCGCCTCTGTGTTTCGTTTGAGGTTCCCAACGCCACTGCCACCGGCACTTTCGCCGACTTCTTGTTCGTTTACGGGCGTTTCCTCAGTGGAAGCAGCGGCCGAGTCCTCAATGAACGACATGTGCGCGTTCTTCACGGTGCCACTGAAAAAAAATCAGGGAAAAAACAGCCGCCCCGACCAAGAGAACATGGAATCGAGGGCGACAGGTGTTCGGGGGACCAGGGTGCATGAAGCGCACGGCCGTGATCAAGCACAATGCTGGAAGAGTCGGCACATTGACACGATATGCGACGCCTGCAAAACCGGCCAAGGCAGGTTCAAGGCAGGTTCAAGGCACTGCTTTGGGTCCTCATTCGTTTTTGACTTCCAAACGTCTTCACTCTTCACTGAACGGGTCTGAACCTTGGCCTTCCAGCCACAACAACATGGTGTACGGGCACCTCCAAAGAGTGTCTCACCTTAGGGACTTATCCGAAGCGAGGTCAGCGACCTGAGGATAGTGCGTGACGAACAGCGTGGCGCACCCGATGTCTCGAACGACGTGGCGAAGCGTGGCGAGGGCGATGGCAACACCGTCATGGGTGCTGGTTCCTCGACCCAGCTCATCAAGGACAACGAGGGATCGCCGAGTAGCGTGCTTGATGATGTAACTCGTGTGCCACAATTCCACCTTCAATTTGAGGAAAGAAGGTGTGGGTGAGAGTGGCTTGAGTGCCCGATGGACAGAGAACGCGAGCAAGGGTACACCTAGAAAAATGAGCACATCTGGGAGAAAAAAAGAAAGCAGCGGTGGCTTTGCGGCGCATAGCTTCCCGTGACAAACGTTCTCACAGGAAAGGGATACGCAAGGACACATCCTGGATCAAAGTCATGAGACCCGAGGGAGGGTATCGCTAGGATGTTATTCCCATAGATCGCCCCTTGCGGCCGGCCCGTGAACGTCAACAAATACGCCGCAAATCGGTAACCACGGTCGCTCGACAACAAATTATATGTCTCACCATGAACGTACTCATGTCAGCGGCCAGATCGTCCCCGGCACCCATTCTGGTGTAGACACCGTCCAAGCAGTACATGTCAGCAGAGTCCGCTGGAACATAGCTCCCCATCTACTGCCAACAGGGAACAGCGTAAAGGTGGGTATGGAGGTAGCCCACCGCGACATTAGCGGTCACTCAAACACCATATGCCGTGGCTCACAGGTGGAGCATGCCACAGCACAAAGAGAGAGCCCGGCAAAATCCTCATAGCGAACGAATGCACCGAACGAGAGAAAGGCTCAAGAGCGCAGTACGTTGTTTCAGATGGAGATCAAGTGAAGGTGTTTCGCGAAAGGTGTCCCGTCGTACACGAGAACTGCGATCGGCCGCGTTCGTGTCCATTGCAGCACATCACCGGCAGAGCACGATGATACCGTCTGACCTGTCCCATGATGCAAATTAGTGCCGCCATCCTCACGGTACTGCTTTTCCCTCCCATGTTGGGCCCGGTCACGACCAAGCACTCCCCTCTCCTGTCCCACGGGTTGATCGCAACGACAATTAGAGTCAGCCTCGAGACGGCGCGCCACCGCTCGACTCAAAACGCAAATTGCATGGATCACAGGCCGGCAGAGGGCATGTGGCATGGCGCTAGCCTCCTTGCGAGCAAGTACGCTGACTGTTACAAGCACAAGTATCCCTCACCGCCACGTCAACGACTGCTGAACACACGCAAGGGATGGGCATCGTGCAGGCAGACGGTGCATGATGCGACGCGAGCGGCAGCTCACCTAAGGCTGACGTCGTTCGGTACGAAACCCCCCTCGAGGACGCGCTCCACTGTAGGGTGTCGCGCGCCTCGAAGCACGATCTCGTCCACACCATCGGCTTCGTCGTCACCACCACCATCGCCACCACTCTCATCCCCTTTGTCACTGGCCGTGGGGCGGTACTTTGGCCGAACATAGCCGGGTAACTTTGCGACCACGGCAAGAGAGAGCAGGGCGTCTAGCGTGCCCAAGGCTTGGACCGCCGTTCGAAACCCCGCGTAGCACTCCTCGTCCACCTGCGCACGCACACAAGATCATGGCCCTTAAACCAACGCACGCCGTATCCGGTCTTCAGTGCAGACCCGGCCTCCTTCCCGTCATGAGGCGATTCACCGCTTAATGACTCGTCCCCCGGATAATCTTGTTGCTCGTGTTGGACGCCACTTTATAATTTCGGCGAGAGTTGTTGTGTTGTTTTTTCTGGGTCTTCTCGTTTGATACAATAATGTACAATAATGTAGGTTAATTTTTTCGGGTGGTTAGCCTGTGACCACGGAAGGCGTGCTATTTTAGTCAGTTGCACCAGGACGGATGTTCGAAGGTGCCACAGCAGAGGCCGGAACATTTCATAAGTGTGAAGACAAAAAACAACCAAGGGCCTAAGTAAGGTGCTCACCTGCGACACAAGCTCTGCCCATGCCTGCCTGGCGGCGAGGTTGCGCGACTCCCTGGCCCTGAGAAGCTCTTGTTGCAATCGCAACACTTCCGGGGTGTGGAACCGGGCGAGATCCTTCGTTTGACTAACCTTTGACAATGCACACATTGAACGGGAAACCAATCACCGGAAAAATGGGTAAAGGAGGCGGCAAACAAGTAAAAGCTATGTCGCACCTCTCCACACAAACCAATACCCTAGCGCATTCTGAAAGGTTTTGGGTTCCGTACTAGAGCTCAACAGGTACCTACGTCTAGCGCAGTTCCTGGCGGTGGAAACAGCGGTGGATAGATAGGTCGAAAGAACGCCCCGTGTCCCCGAAGGAAAAAAATGAGCTGAGCGGTATGGTACATCATCGCAAGATGGGTCTGGCGTCGCCTGCCAGTCGCGTTGCGACACACATACCATAGCCTTGTAGGATGCAGAAACCCGTCGTGACAATAGCCATTGATTGCCATTGTAGACACCCGACGGGTTCCTTGTGTCAGAGACTGAGAGACGTCTATCGCACCTGCATCCAGTCAGACGGAACCAGCTTCTTGGCCTCGCTCTTTCGTAGCTCCACAAGGTACTCGACCGTGCTGGTAGCTCCGGTTCTCAGCGTTTTCCACTGGAGACTTGGCTTCCGGAGGATGGTCCGTACACACTGCAGCTCCTTTGCTCAACGTCAATGTCGATCGCGGGGGGGTTGGGGGTTTAAATCGACACGAATGAGGTGCTTGTCACAGTCCACAATCAACTAAAGGAGAAGCAATCACCCGCACGCGGCTCAGCTGCAAAACTGCAATAGATTATTTATCGGCGGCATCGTCGCCCCGAGAACAGGGCAAACGACCCTTGCGACGGAACACATGGAAAATCCCAACAGCCAAGGACAGGAAGGCGCAATAGCCACAAAGAATCGAATAGCACGGTTGCGGTGTCCGGACGGCAGCAAACGAAGAGGGTGACACTTAGGAGCAGGGGAAACTTCACGGGGTATGTAGGGTAGTCGACAGGATAACGTGCATAGGTCCTCACCGTTTCCAGGTCTGCCTTGGCCGCTTCCTCTTCCACTGCAGCTGTCTTGAGCTCTTTGCAGAGACTCTCGCCATCTACCAACGCTCGCACATAATCATCCTTAGGTAGATTCGATGACGGCGGCGGCGGCGGCAGCCTCAGGTGTGAGCGTTATTTGAGCCTTAGCTTTCCGTATACTACCACGCGTACGAATACGTAACTGGCCACCGGTCATGGCTTGTCGCATGCGAGACGACGGCAAGACTTCAACAAATAGGAAACAGGGAACCTCCCCTTGCCGAAGAGCAACCCCCAGCTTGACATCGGTAAGACACGAAAAATCAACCCATCCCCAAGAATGTCAATTTTGTCGATTCATGTCCTGGAGATATGTTCTACAAAGGTTTCTGCAAATGTCTACCATCAACATGGCTCCTACCACGATGTAGAGAGTCGTACGCCATACCTGGCACCAAGGCCATGCAACATGAATAGAGCGTCGTCATCTTACCGAGGCTGCTGCTTCGGCGTTTAGCTCCCCCAAGTACCGCGCGATTACCGGCGCCATGTTGGCTGGCACGTCAGCGAGAGCATCCAAGAGCACTGCCGACCGTGGGCCACCTCCCTGCTGCGAGGATCCAGCCCCTTCGGTCTTGTCCGCACCTCGTACCGTGGGAGGGTGGAAAATTCCGAACACCTGTCCAAGGTGAGCCGATTTTTTCTCTGTCGGACAATCCCGTAGTCGAAAGGCAAACAGGACCGAACGTGGACACGAAAGTGCACCCTTCCACTTTCTGTGACCTATGTCCCTCGAACGCAAAAGTAATCCTACAGGTCAGTCGCCATTGGTTGGCCGTTGTGAAACAGCCGCACTCCGTGGCAACCCCCTCTGCCAGTCACATTTACCGCTGCACGCCTTTCATCTCAGACATTTAGTTTTGGCCACCAAGACTTCGGAGTCAGTACGAGTAGACCTCCTCGATCGTAGCCGTTCGCGTTCTTCCTCCCCCCCGCCCCCCGCCCCCGCTCGTGTGTCCCACCTACTCTGCACACTCTGCTGCAAATAATCTAGATACCTTGCGCATGGTCCCGAGCAGGGAAAGCAGACGGCTCGGCTGGATCCTGCGGTGGTGCAAGCTTGCGGTGGCCGGATCTAGGTCCTTCAGGTCTCGCAAGGCCGGTCGAAGGCGCTCCATCACCGAAGGAGGGTCAGCCACCAGCTCTTCCACAGCGTCCTTCCCATCGTCCGTCGTCGTGTATAGCACAATATTACATATAGAGGTAGGAGTGATGAGGGGAACACCCCGCACGTAGTAAACAAACAACGTCCGCAATGGTGGCGGCCGGTATGACGACGAGCAACCAGGGTCGGCGGCGGTGGGAGGGCGAAAATGTCAAGAAAGACAGACGACCAACTCGGAAGAACATACAGGGCCTCTCCCAACGCCTTCCTTGTGAAGGGCCAGCGAAACATGTAGACATAACGGAAAGAACGGCGTTTCGCCCAGCGCAACCTCGCCGCGTACGTTGTCCTCTTCCCGAAGAGTTTGGAAGCTGTCTCATCGGAAACAAACGGGGAAAAAAAAAACGTTACACCTAGCTAGCCTCTCCGTGACTACCTGCCGTGCGGTGATGTCCTCTGGCGACAGCAAAGGCTGTCGAACCCAGCCAGCTAGCACGCGACGGCCGAAGGCAGTCTGGGTTCGGTCAAGGATCGAAAACAGAGACCCCGCCTCGCGCCCGTCCGCCTGACACTGCAGCACCTGCCATTGGATGAGGACGACGGTCAGGTGGGGATTACGGAGTGTGGTTGGATATACGGGGGGGGGCGTACTCTTATGTTTTGCATGCCTTAGCGGTTAGACCATTGACCACGCGTCCTCGAGAGGACGGAGCATTGTTCCCACAGGACCGATCACCGATGGCCAATCGTTCCTTTCTACTTTGCCAAAGGTGGCTCAAAAATGTCTTCCCTAGTCTGTCTATCCTAACGATATCCCTTCCCGCCTTTTCAACCCACCTCCTATGCCCCACTACAGCTACCGTCCTTTCCTCTCTATTCCATGCCTCAAACATCTCCCTGTACGTCCCATCTATTTTTCCCAGCTCAGCCACGTACGTACACTTCCCTCTCCTTCTGGTACAACGGAAATTCCGCGACTACATGAACACGGTCTTCGCATTCGAAGCCGCAATCACATTTGAACTCGTCGTCTTCCTCGTCTACCGTCCTATGTCTTCGTCGACGTTCTCGAAGGCCTATGTCCCCGGTCCTGAATTTGACCTTAAGCTTTGTTCCTGCATCCATTGGTCCATGTAGGTAGTCCTTGAACCC